GTAGTGCCTGCAAGCGTTACTAATAGGGTGACAGTTGACAGTCAGGTGTGCCAAATCTTAAGAAGAATAAGTCAAAATGGTTTCCAATTTTTACAATTAAAGATAATTTGACAACGTAGACTTAATCTACACTATATAATGATTTTAAACATTTAAACACCTGCTAACCTTGACCCTGGCTGTTTTCCCAAGCAGCCAATACTTCTTCCTAGTATAAGCACATAAAATTAAGAAATAAATCGTTTTTTACTCTACATACAATGCATCATTAATAGCTATATTCTTAATTAGACATCTTATACATAATAATAATTATGATAAAGTGAACAAAACACGGCATTATACGTCTGTGACGTGCAGAAAACATATAAATTTATATGACACACATAATAAATCAGTCAAAGGTTTAAATTTTGCAATACGTGGGAGAATCAAACAATCGTTTTGAAATTAGTAGATTTAGGTTATTATTTTTGTTGCGATACAATTAGAAAATGGAAATGGAACAATAAAACGCTGATGATTTAATCACCGTTCTGAACTTTTATTTTTGTATAAATACCATTCATCACGGTCATGCAAACGTAGATGTAGGAAACTCAAGTTGACTCGAAAGTAAATAACTTGTTGAGATATTATGCATTTTTTATATGTCAAAAATATTATTTTTGTCTGTATTTTTTGGCTTACAGCTCTTAATATTAAGAAAGGTTTTTTGGAAAGTAATTTCGTTTTGATACTTCCATATTCATTATAGAATTTTAATTTTAATTTTTTGGAAGTAATCATATGTACAAGCAGTGGATGAGAATTGCTAACAGTAGAAATCAATTGAAGCAAATGGAAGATGTAGTGGACGATATATGTCCAGCAGTGGACGAATACAGGCTGAAAAGAAGAAGAAGATTCATTTGTGAAGTTTATCTTTGTGCTTTGTTAATGCATATTTTTCTACTCGTTATTTATTTGATCTTGAAGATCTTCAATCTTTTTCACTATGACGCCAATGTGATCCGTATGCCCTGAACATTCCATGTTATAATTCTAGTGTTGGACAGTTTTATCTTCTCTTCCCTGTTCTTCTGATAAGAAATTCGCTGATTAACAACCCGAAAGGCCTTCACTGCCGGATCTTAGCTTTGACGGACCATGATCAGTAACGCTGTTTTTGGTTTCTATCACCATGATGATTTTAGTAGGGATGTCCATCTATCTATCTATACAGCCCTTGCTGTCTTATTTTGGACATACTCCTCCTCTTCCTTCTTCCACGTCTCCCTATTTGTATCCACTTCGCGCCTCCGTGTTTCTTCAAGTCATCTGACCATCTTCTTTGTGGCTTTCCTCATTTTCGTTTGTAACTATGTGGTATCCAGTGTATAATCATCTCATTCCATCTGTCGTCTTTCTGTCTTATGGTATGTCCAGCAAACTTCCACTTAAGTTTTGCTATCTGCGTTGATACATCGGTCACTTTTGTTTTGTTGCTGATCCAAGTATTTGCCTTTCCATGGCTCTTTGGGTCTTTGCTATTTTTCCATGTTTTCCTTTGTTAACGTCCAATTTTGAGAACCGTAGGTGAGAACAAGAAGTATACATTGGTTGAAGACTCTTGTTTTTAAATATTGGGGGTATTTTTTATTTTTTAGTATATAGGAAAGTTTTTCGAAGGATACCCAAGCCAACCGTATCCTTCTCTTTATTTCTTCGGTTTGATTTTCTTTATCTAATTTAACTAGTTGTCCCAAATATACATATTCTTTTACTTGTTCTATAGTTGTTTGTGCAATTGTAATTATTAATTCTTCTGGTTGGCTGGTCATAATTTTTGTTGATTCGCTATTTAATTCATCCATCATATTTTGTAATTCTTCCCTTTCATCCGTTGCAATTTCCTCATACCGTCTTCCAAAGCTTGACTAAATAGTTTGGGTGATACAGTGTCCATAGAGATCTTTAATGTAATGGGTTTCCCTTACCTCTTGCATTCTTATTCCGTTGACCAACTGTTTGGTTGATACACCTTTATAGTTGTTTTCTAAACCCCAGGAAAAAACTCACATTCGAAACCGTTGGCGTTGTTCAGTAAGTGGTGGATTGCTTATAACGAAAATGACTCGGTCCATCGGAAAATCTATGTGGAACATTTAATTAGATGTTGCCCATCTATTACCACGTGTGGGAGCAGATATGGATTTTTTTTAATTGAGATTTAGAATTTCCAGATTCCTTTTTGGGTTTTCTGCCATCTCTCATGTGTCATTATCGTAACATACTATTATGCTTCTGGATTTTTTGGATCGGACTCAAGAATAAAAAACATAAATATCTATATATGTATCAAGAAAAAATTGTTTTAATTTCCGTTTTTGCATTGATTTTTTACTTGTAATAAATATTGCTGAAAAATTACTTTTTTACTCTGAACTTTTACTTACCAATATATAATAAAAATGTTGAGATGCATAGAATGATACAAAAAGTGCTTGTCTATATTTCTAAAAAAAGTAAAATTGAAAAATTCGTAATTTTTTTCCTATTTACTTTTTATCAGTTAATATAAACTGTCATTAGATGATCCCATCGATCCAATCATTTGAATTCATTTGACAAAAACCCCATAATTGCCTATTACTGCAACGACAGGTATCAATGAATAAAATTAAAAGCGTTTCAAATAACTGTCTATCTCGTATCTCCAAGCATAATGAGCTTTCCAGGTTTTTGCTCATCGATAATAGCTACTTGGAGTTTAAAAGAGTACTAGAAAACAAAGGATATTTCCACAGTGATCTGTTACATTCGAAAGTGGCGGATCATTATTTTTCAACAAGGGGTATTTATACATCGTGAAATATTTAAAATTGATTAAAAAATATAAGTGTAATTAGGAAAGATTTATCATCATCGGCGATGGATGAACTAATTCAGAGAGTTGAATTTTAAGTACATAAGTATGAACAGGTACTACAGATCTTACGGAAGAATAAGGTGATTCGGAAGAATAAGATCGCTTTGTTCATCAAAAATTTATTTGCAATCAAAAACATATCGTCCTATAGGCTAATATAATGACTAGAGAACTTTACGTCAACAATCGCCTGAAGTTATCTTCGTAGATCTGCTGACCAGCGTCTTTTCAGTCATTGATATTTGGTTTAAGAAATGGATGGAGTACATTGTTATTGTGATTTTTTAGTTGGTCATGATGTTTGATGTTTCTCTTCATTATAAAGTCTTTGACAAAAGATATGTTCATGTTTTTGTGCAAGTTTGGCTCGAGATAGATTAGGGAGCTTCCTCCACCATATAAACAATAATGGGCAGAATTTTCTGCATAATGGCGATAATAAATTTGCTAGTACAATTCCAAATTTCGATTGTGTAGACCCAAATGTTCTTTCATTTATTATTAGCAAAAGTTCCTGTAACTGTATTTCTGTTTGTTTGCAGGTATGTAATGTAAAATGTATAAAGAAGTGATCCAAGCACATTTCTTTGTCGGGCGCCAGCTTTTATACGGAAGTTTGTCAATGTTGTTTCAGTGATTCTGAATTCTCAATTAGTGATGTAATATTTTAGTAAATTGCTTGTAGTTTATGAATACTTATCTAACAGTAATGTATCTACGATCTATTAAAATTTTCTTATAATTTATTATTATTCGCTCAGTTATATTATTCAATTGGCTGGAATTGTTCCAAATCTCTGAATTGACTCAATTTTTCGATAAGCCCTATAAAAAATAGCATTCCTTTGAAATTATTTACTATTACCATCCATCGTAGGTTATAGTTGTCAGACCATTTCATGAGTTTACTACGCTTATTCTAAGTATATATTATTTTATTCCAAAATGTACATGGCGCAGTCAGTAATTATAGAAAATCTCCTTATAACCGCATCTCTCTATGTGTTTTTTTTTATTATCTATTAAGGTTCTTCAAGGGGCTTTATATTTATATAAAAATTTAATTTTACAAAAACTCTCCCAATTTTACCCAAGATTTTATGTAAAAAAAAGTTTGCATAAGCATACAAGTGCAGATGAAAGCCACTATTGAAGGTATTTAAGAGACAAGATAATTAAATAAGTTTTAAACGATAATAAAATAATATATACATATTAACACAAAACATGTATTTGAAGAGAGAAATTTATCTAATATTAAGCATGTTTTTCCAAAAATGTGTGTACAAACAAAAATTTCGTACGTATCCTACGCCAGTGTAGAGAACGCCATGTAATGACAACGGATTGACATCCATTAAGAATTTGTCCAACAGTGTGTGTTTTTTTCGTTGTATACTATGCAAAAAATTCAATCGGCGATAGGATATGTGAATGACAACCTGAATGGCTGTAAAAATATGTGCACTAGGTCTTGGATAATCCGATTAATGGGTGCTGACATACGTGTTCAATTGTTTTTGTGGTTTACTACAAACGGATGAGGATTTTATTTATTTGTAAATATCTGTGATTAATTTGATGGTTATATTCTTTGACCACAACGCCAACGGTTGGGACACACTGAAATCATTTATATAGGATATTATGTAAGTGATTTAATTATCGTCATGATTGGATTGTTTAGTGTAAAAGTGTAATATTTATTTCTTGGCAAATAATGTATTCATAGACAAAAATATAAAGTATACACAATGTGCTTTGTTTATTAAAGATATTTATATGACTGCACGTGATAAACACTTTATTTTCGTGCTCAATACCAAATGGAACAATCTGAGTTAAATCTGACAGATCGGCTGTGTCACGTGAGCTTTACACATTTGTAAACAAACAATGACTACATTATATACCTTTCTAAAAACTATTTTTTACTTCAATTAAGAATTTGTTGTACATTAAAGAATTTTCTGTTAAGTACCATCTAACTAAATTATTGTATGAACATTAAGGTTAAGGTCTCTAATATGCTCATTTTTACATCAAAACTAAAAACAGCTACATACTAAAAGCCCCGTTATTATTACAGACCATTTTTCATCAACAGGAGTCAAATCCGAACCCGGTATGACCCCTTACGGTCGTCCTGATAACGATCATCCAGAAGACAGACTAGTACATATTTTAAACGATCCGAACTTTCACCAACACATGAAGCAGCCTCCGCCAGAAGACAGCCATAGCAACGAGGACTCCAAATCGCCTCAAGGATGCAGCAGTCCGTTCTCAAGGGATTCCAGTATGAACAAGAGACTGAAGAAATACGAAAACGACGACATCTCACAGGACAAAGTAGTCAGGATTTATCAGGAAGAGTTGGCCAAACTTATGGGTAGGAGGATAGAAGATTTAAGAGGACCAAGGGACGGACCTTTCCCTGGGTAAGCATTAACCATTTAACCCCGTACATAATATAATTTGACAGAGTAGGCACTTCATATTATACTCTCAGAATCATATACGTACCTACTCTGTTAATAAATGTTATAGTATTTATTAACTAGAACAGTGCTAAACTAATATACAGTTTTTTCCTTCCTCAACTCTATAGTGGCAACTCAATGGAACGAACTCCCGAAGATCTTCGAATGGTTCTCGATGCGTACCACCGAGAATTTGCTAAGCTGAATCATGGTCAAAATCCTACACAAATGCAGTTGAGTCTCTTGGCTATTCAACAGCAAAGTCTAGCTCACCATCACCAGCAGCAACAACACCAGCAACAACAGCACCAGCAACAACATGTAAATTCAAATGGTGGTGTTCAAGACCTTTCCATTCCAAAGGATAAGATGAAGATGGTTAATGGAGGCATGGACGATAAAGAAAAAGATGACGACCATGTTTCACGACATTCTGGATCAGCTTTTAGCCTAGTCAGGCCGAAAATTGAACCAGGTACCCAACCTAATACTGGATCCACGGCTTCCAGTCCCTTAGGAAATTCCATTTTACCTCCAATGACCCCTACTGATGATTTTTCAGGATCAGCAGCAGCATCTCCCTTGCAACGAATGGCAAGCATAACAAATTCCCTCATATCACAACCTACTACGCCGCATCATCCATCTTCCAACAACAGACCCCTAAAAGCAGTATTACCCCCTATTACTCAGCAACAATTCGATCTATATAACAACCTTAACACTGAAGATATCGTTAAAAAAGTTAAGGAACAATTAAGCCAGTATTCTATTAGCCAAAGACTCTTTGGAGAGAGCGTGTTAGGATTATCACAAGGATCTGTCAGTGACCTTCTGGCAAGACCGAAACCTTGGCACATGTTAACCCAAAAAGGAAGAGAACCTTTTATAAGAATGAAGATGTTTCTTGAAGACGACAATGCCGTCCACAAACTTGTTGCCAGTCAATACAAGATTGCTCCAGAGAAGCTCATGAGGACAGGAGGATATGGAGGTGGTAAGTTATTTATTTAAAATTACTAAAAATAAAATAATGGTTGGTAAAAACATATTAAATATTATCATAATAAATCATTGTTTCTATTCCATTCCGCACATATTTACAATAATAGTTTTTATTTATTTTCAGCTTGCACATCAATAGGAAAGCCGATGCCTCCAACGAACAAGATGCTCTCAGAAGCTGCTGGTTTGTTGAACAAAATGCAAGAATCACAGAACATCTTGCCACCTTCTCTTCAACTCGGTCCACCCCAAGGGGTAAATCCACAACCACCACCACCACCGATGCTACTTACGCCTCCAGGACTACCCCCACATCACGCTATCAGTTTACAAAACCCAGATCTCATGAAGAAAGCTAATCACAGTCCACATGGTATTCCACATTCTCCGATGGTCCCACAACATGCATCACTAAGAAATATGCACCAACACATTTCGCCAAGCGTATATGAAATGGCAGCTTTAACACAAGACTTAGATACTCAGGTCATTACTACAAAGATCAAGGAGGCTCTACTGGCTAACAACATTGGACAAAAGGTAAAAATAACTATTAAGACTACTTTCTACAGGTTATCATAAAAGTATAGTGAGAGATTAAAAATGAAAGATTCTTTCTTGGTATTGATTATATCAATTAATATAAAGAGTCGAATAAGGAAATAGAGGGAGAGAGAGAGAGAGAGAGAGAGAGAGAGAGAGAGAGATTAAGACGAAGAGGGAAAGGGGGGAAAGGTTTTAACACTCCAAAAATATGTTGAAATAAGCTTCTAAACTTTCTTTATTTGTTGCAGATATTTGGGGAAGCAGTTTTGGGTTTATCACAAGGCTCCGTCAGTGAACTTCTGTCCAAACCAAAGCCATGGCATATGCTCAGCATAAAAGGGCGAGAACCATTTATTCGGATGCAGCTATGGTTGAACGACGCCCACAACGTGGATCGTTTGCAAGCTCTAAAGAATGAGAGGCGAGAAGCCAACAAGAGGCGAAGATCGTCTGGAGCAGGTGCTCATGACAACAGTAGTGATACATCATCAAACGATACTTCAGAATTCTATCACTCAAACTCACCAGGTCCTGGTCCACCGTCAGCTAAGAAACAGCGAGTGCTGTTCAGTGAAGAACAAAAAGAAGCTTTACGGTTGGCCTTCCATTTAGATCCATATCCCAATGTTAACACTATCGAATTTCTAGCGACTGAACTTGGTTTGTCATCGAGGACCATTACGAATTGGTTCCACAATCACAGGATGCGGTTAAAACAACAAGTTCCGCATGGACTACCTTCGGACTTACCTCCTAGAGATCAAACCGGTAGCCAACAGTCATTTGATCCAGTACAATTTAGACTACTTTTGAACCAAAGATTAATCGAGCTTTCGAAAGAAAGAATGGGTTTGAGTGGAGTTCCGTTGCCTTACCCCCCTTACTTAGCCACTAATGCTAATTTGGCGGCTTTGATCAGCCGGGGGTTATTGCCCACTGGAGACATGGATCTGTCAGCTCTGAACAATGCCGTAAAAGAGCAAATGAGTGGTTTAGATCTTTCTATGCCTTCTTTAAAACGAGAACCCGGTGACTACGATGATGACGACGACGTTGAAAGCAACGTGGGGTCGGAAGATTCGAATATGTCTGGTGGTAGTCTCCATGGAGAAGTAAAAACTGAGCCCAAAGAATTACCTACTAATCAAGGCAGATCGTCAAGACGAAAGCCTGCTGCACCTCAATGGGTCAATCCCAACTGGGAAGAAGAAAAGGAAAAAGTTAATACCGGAGATGAAGTTATTATCAACGGTGTCTGCGTGATGCAAACAGGAGATGATTACGGTAGACGGAGCTCCGAAGAAACTGTCAGGGTTGAGCCTCAAGCGGTCATGGACAGGTTTGAAGAAGACCAGAGTGACGCTTCTTCGATTAGTAATAATCACGAACAAACTGTAAAACCGGAAGCCAAAGAAGATGAACAGGACGACTACAACGAGAGTGAGATTAAAACAGAAGAAGACAGTGAGAATAAGAACCTTAACCAAGAAAACGAAGAAGAAAGGTGGGAGTACTAAACCATAGACAATATAGTAACTCTCAGTAATGTTTTCTTTAGTTGTTGTTGGTGTTTTATGGACGACCTAAGAGACTTCCTAGTGAAACTATGTAAAGGTTGATGATTTGTTATGATATACAAAAAGTGCAATCACGAAAAACGAAAATTTATCCCCAAGGTTATTATAAATATTTATTGAAATGTGATTTACGATGGACGTGTTGGAAATACTGGATGTTGTTGAAAATTTTCAGTGTTTACAGCAAGCCTATCGGCTTTTTGTGAAGTGTCGCAGAATGTGCTTTTGAACAATATGTGATTGCTTAATCATTCTGAGCAGTATTTTTATTATCTTTTTGTAAAAGAGATAAACAACTTTTAATTATTGCGGTCAGTTTTACAATATTGAGTTACCTTCTATTGAAAAGAAACTATCAGAAAGTTTGTCTTTTACAGTCTAAGATTAAAAGAGAGTTTGGTGATTGATAGAAAATGTTCACTTTTGAATTTCGTGTTAATGATAACTTGCATATACTTAGACAGTTTTATTATCTTTTTTTAATGAAGAATTTTGATGTTAAATTTCTAAAGGTATTTCAGTTTTCAGTCCAAACCGATCATTGTCTATAATTTCATTTGACCACAAAAAGTAAATAAATATTAAGCATTTGATTCTAATACCAACACAGAATGTATGATGTTGGATAGTGATAAATCGGTATTCTATAAGTACTGGTGTTAGGTATTTAACTGTGGTCAGCAATTGATTGTGAAATCGACCGTTAAAATGTTACTTGCCATTGTCTAATCATTTTTGAATATATTTTGTATTGTTGTACATAATACTTTTTCGTTATTTTGTTGTGAACACAAAGCCAAAAGGTTCAAAAGACCATTCTACACTGCACAAAAGTTCTTGCCAATTTTTAACTATTTTACTTATTGGCATAAGTTCGTTCTCTTTTTTTATTTTAGTTTGTATTTAAGTAGTTATTATTGCATAAGACTGTTACCGTTATTATTATATATAGTTAGCTTTCGAGCTAAAAAGCAAAGAAAATGTTTTGAACATTTTGTGATATACACATTACTTTTTATTTTGTATTATTATTGAGAATATACTGTGCTTTCCATTTTTAAGAGTACCGAATGGCCAAAAATGCAATATTTTAAGTAATTAAGTTCTTATAAGCTTAAAATTCTTGAAGTTAGGTTTTAAAGATGTTATTCGGTGAAGATTTCAATATTTCGGACGATTAAAACTGACATTTTTTAAAAAATAAATTGTTTTCATGACTGTTGGGGTATAAAAGGGGATGTTGCGGTCAAATATCCTGGGATTTCTGGAAATTTTTGTTCACAAATATAGAATACTTTATCAGAGTTTACTAATGTTATAACACAAAAGATAATCTCATGATAAATATTTCTGTTAATAGAATATAATTGTATGATATGTAATTTAAATGTCCAAAAGGTTTAAAGGCAATTAAAGGTTTCTTCATTTCCTGTGTAATAAGTGTTCTTCAGTCATTCAAGAACTATAGTTTCATCTTTTTCAAGAGATAGTTAAACCTTGTCGTGTTGCTCTGCCCACTTTCTCCATTTTACAGATATGATTTCTGAGTGAGCAATGCTCAATGAGAACACCTGCTATTACTTCGAGTTCAGTGTTCTGGAACAGTACATCTGGAACGTTATAATAAACTTTTTGTTTAACTTTAGTCTACAATATTTTTCCAGTAGGCTGCCCTAATTTTCGATGCTTTTACTAATTTTTATGTATTCTCCATTATGCGGTTTTTTTGGTTTACTGCAGAATCAGATAAAAGAGGTACTAACTCCTTCTTTAGTAGTACTATCAGGGATCTCCTCACCACCAATTTTTTTATGCCCTTAGAACTTAAAACAAAGATATTTTGGTGTAGTTCGCCAGTTGCTAAAGATATCTTTTGCAGTTCCAAGTTTTTGGGAACTCATAAATTGTAGTCTTCACAAACTTGAGTGCATCTTCTTGAGAGGTAATGAATATTTTGGTTGAAATGAGGCCTTTCTTTAGACGCTCTTTAGCACTAAAATCTATGGATAGTCTGGTGTCATCATCGAGATTGAGATAAGAAATACACTTGAAAACAGAACCATTATGTGACTATGACAGTTAAAAAATTGGAGGATTTGTTTTATACTTATGATCTGAGATATCAAAAACCATTGATGGAACTAACATTTAGCAAATTTTCAATCTGAGATACTAGAGTTATCTTTTGTGTTATTACCTGTTGTGTAAATTCCGTTAAAGTTAATATTGTTCTTTTAATGAAAAACCGTACTGAAAAACTCACTTACGGTATATTGTAAGACAGTTGTAATATGTGATATTGAAATTTTCAACAATATTATTGTTAGTAGTAACTTTTCGTACTCAAAAATGATTTCCAGCAATCTTCCAAAGTTTTTTGTACATAATTTGGTGTACATTTCTCGAATTTTCTTATTGTACTAAATAAAATAATTTTAATTTTGAAATTTTTGTGTCCACATTTCGTCTAGTCTAATTAACAGGGGCATCAGCATCAAAAATACACTACAAAAAGGCCAGTACTGATTATTTATAATTTTTTCTTATAAACAAATACAATAGTTCAATAAAAAGCCTTACTTATGCGCACGGTATCGTGTTGAGAAAATCAAAATTTTGATAGTAGTCGTACAAAACGTGAGGACAACCAAAATACATTCGCTATTGCGTCTGAACTTATATAATTTGATTTTTATTCAAAATAACTTATCTATAACGTCAAAATAGTATCATTTCTGTAAGTTTTACTTCTTGGCTCTAGTAACATAAAAATATAGGACCCTGATTTCGAACTAAGTAAGTATCTTCTAAACTTGTAACTTTTTTAAACTGATGATTTTGATACGAAATACACTTTTTCAATTTTGAAGAAATAGTCTATAATTTATTTCATAATTTTTCTAATTGTTGGTAGTTTTTTCTCCAAACTATCGTTTCGTTTCAGGATACTCTTTCTATTAAAAGTTAAATCACTGAAAGATTTAGTGTTACTTGCTTAAATCCTGCTTCCAAGTCATCTCTTCAAAAATATTTAGTGCTCTTATCTATAATTTCATTAATTTCACTGACTTCTATTTAACTTTTAATCCTGGTGAACCATTTGTCAAAAAACAACTTATAATTTTGATCAAATTTGGTATCAAATCTGATAATTTGACAACCACGTTGCTGCTCATACTAAGATTTGCTCCTGGAGGTATAATATTACTTTGGCAACCAACAAACAAATCAAAGTCATAGCAGAATCCCAAAATATCACCCAGTGAAAGTGTTTGAAGCCTCACTTGTGTGAGTTTTTTTTGGTTATATTGCTTTAGCTGGCTTAGCACTTTTGTTGGTATAATCTGTTCGTCTACAGCTAGAAATTCTTCTTTCGAAACCTGAGTAGCCGTTCTTTTTGATTTGGTTCAGAATAGATCCGATTTTGAATAATCAATCATGGCCAGGCTGATCATTTTCTATCATGTCGTTATTGTTATTGAAATTCAAGAAACGTTTTATTTCTTCAAATCTGTTACAGCTCATCACATCGCTAACTGCTCGGTGACCAATATTGGCATTCCAATAGTGTGTTGTGAGATGGAAGTTGAATTATATAAAATTTGATTGTTCTGTGATATGCTCTATAAGACTATCAGGAAAGAGAAACTTAAAAAATTGGACCGGAGTTTCTGATTGTAAAATCGAGGAAGGGATTTTCAGAACCAGTAAATTTTGATTATTTTCTGATCTTAGATATTATATAATAAGATTATCTTTTACCGAATTATGAGATTTCTTCCTTTTATATCGCAGTTTTTCAGACAAAGGAGTATCATCATATCATCTTCATGTTCCTCATTGTCACTATCTTGTCACAATATCATCTTATTAGTGTCAACTTCATCAGAGAAATCTAATTCTTCACTATTAGTACTTAGCACTATCTGGTATTCGAACTGCTCTCATTGTACCATAAAAGTTTCGGATTCATATCTACAAAAACAATCCATAAGTTTATAACCTCATAGTGTACCATATATAGGACAAAGCCTTTTTGGGGTTTTCAAAAGGCTTTCAACATTCATAATGTTTAGTCTTCTTCTCACTTCTCACCTGAGAAAATATCTAATATCACAATACGATGAATTTCAATTTTTTCTCTCCGTAAAAAACGTTTTTACCATGAAAAATAACTTCAAACTTCGAACACTGTTTCACGTGGTTTAGAATTTGAACAAGAATGAACTTGAAACTGCGCACGGCTGCCTATCTCGCCGTCAGAACATGCCGCATAACAAAAATTGAGTTAAATCATTTAAAAAAAATTTTTTGTTTGTGCCATTTATGGCACATAATGCGGTAAAAGGTTACCTTAACCTTTAAATTGTAATTCTACTCTAACCTGCACAATTTTTAATTTCATGTCTAAATTTCTTCGATTATTTATTGATTCTCTTCAAGCTCTTATTTACGTCCATAGTTAAAAGTTTCTTCCATTGCAGTTTTCTATCAGTTACTGTGTCAAATAGTACTATTTAATAGTTTATGCATATTTAGAAAGTCTTTTTAACCGACCTATCTATTTTTCCGATATAAGAACTTCAAATACTGACTTTTATACTATTAATTTTGATAATTAACTGATATTTTTTGGAATTTGACGCAGTAGATCAATGATCTGTAAACGGTGAATGTATTTAGGGTTCGTTCCTCGAAATAGCTAGGTGACAAGGTTTGTTTTATCTAATTTTCTGGCAGTATCAGGTTTTAGATCTCAGCATTACTGAAAATTTTCAAATAGCTTTAATTTCCAAATAAAATTAGAATAATGTTACAAAATGCATATCGTTAATCTTAAGTATTTAAAACAAATGAAATCCACCCATAGAAAGGTAATTTAAGTCAAAGCCATAGTTTTGTTTTTCGTTAATATGTCACGATGCATGACGTAACGCCATCATTTTTTGAGATCGATCCAAATGTTTATTTTAGATGAATAGAATATGCTATAGTATTTCGCAGTAATTTCTTTTGAACTTCATATAAACGTTTCACATTATTGATTAGTTTACTTTAACTGTATATAAATGAAAAAGTAAGTACGAATGGTTCCAAATTACTTTCAATTAGCAAATCCATAATTGTCCTTTTTTTTATTTACAAAACAATATCATATATAGCTTGGTTGGCTTAAGATAACTTGGTTTAAATTTGAAATGAGAATTTTTAGATTATTGCTGTGGAAATATTATGAGCACTTTTCTAACAATACCTTTACTTTTCTCAACAAAAAATGTTGTCGTGACGTCATGGCTGAAGTGATCTATTTCATGTGTTGCGATAAAATATAGCATGAAAATGTTGATAAGAAATTTCTAAAGTGCAATATTTTAGCGTTCAAAGATGACGTATATTTTTGCGATATACAAAAAATGTATTTCTTCCAAGATGTATTCAATGTAAGAACATTGTAAAAATTATAAAAGATACGTAAAAGTTTGTCTTCAAAAAGCGAATGAGGCATTAAATTAGCTAAAATGTATTATAAATGCACATTTCTAAATGCATGTAGTTATATAGCATAGATTTTTTTGCTGTAGACAAAATATTTGAAAAGAAAAAACAGTTTTTGTTATTTAATAAATTTTCTGTACCGACAAATTATACAAAACACAAAATACGTAAGCATGTTTTTTGTTAGTACTGATAATATATTAGCAAAATGATAATATGGTACAAGAAGATTTGTTTTATTTTTATTATATTTTATAATATAGAAACATCCAAGAACAATGCTTAGGAAGATCATAGATCTATTTTATCCTTTTTTTACTGTAAATATTTATATCATATCATCCCTTGAAAATTTCTAAATTAAAATTTTCTCTGTATTTATTACCGACTTTTATTCTTACCTTCTACGTACAAACCAATAATACCCTTCAAATTCCCGCCCCAATCAGTGACCAACCATAATGAAAACACGCACCTAAAACTAAACGCACATATATACAAATAGTTTAAAACCAGAATCCTATAACTATTGCACAACCAACAACAAACAAAAAACAACAAGACAGTCAATTTAACTTTATCACAAACATCTCGAGTTTACAGAAAACAATAGAAACCCACAGCAAACAATAAATCTCTCTGCCATCGATATGTGGTTGTGTGATTACTCTTTAACTGCAAGTTTCTCTTGGAACAGTCTTGATTAATTGTATAATAGCGACCATTTTCCTCTAACAATTGAAACCATTGGACATGACCAATATTCCTGTTTATCAAAAATGGAAATTAAACTCCGCAAACTGGGACTTATATAGTGATCTAATAAATAATTATCTTACGAACTTTATTCCAGGTGATAGCATAGATTCTACTCTTGATCATTTCAATGATACTATAGTAAAATGTGCTAATATTGCGGTGGGAAAAACAAAACCTTGTAAACGAAAACCGGTACCATAATGGAACGAAGAAATAGCTCTAGCTATGAAGTCTAGCAAACATGCTTTTCATGTTTTAAAAAGACATAAAACAACAGAAAACGTTAACGATTTTAAAAAACAGGGCAAAAACTAAATATCTTAGGTATTAAAAAAAAATAAAAAAAAAACATGATCAAAGTATGTCTCCACTATAAGTTCATAAACACATATGACTACAGTCTGGAATAAAGTACGTACTCTCAAAGGGGAACAAAGCTTAATTCACATTAATACTCTTTCTTATCAAAACACATTAATATCTTCCAAACAAGAATGTAGTAATATTATGCCAGATGCGTATAAAACAAATTCAAGCAATGCAAGCTTTAGTCCCGTATTTTTAGATTTCAAAAATCAATATGAAATGACAGAAATATCTATAGAAGATACCGATAATCCACTAAATGTTCCCATCACATATGAAGACTACAGGGAAAAAATCAGATATGTCAAAATTTCATAAAATCGAGAAAAACGCATATTTAACTTCAAAACCATAATGTGTCTTACGTTGGCATCACTATTTTTTTTAGACAATTACACTCTTTAAAAATCCAGAAAATTTTTTTCAGCCGCAATTTGTCCATTGAAAGAACCAGCTTAGTCATCTGAAACAGAAAATGTTCAATGCTTTCAATAATGCAAATAGGTTTCTTTTTGATTAGTAATTATGTTGTGAATGATAGGCCATAATAAATACAGCAAAACCTGTCAAAAACGGTCACCAAAAATGACAGGACTATTGCCCGATATTAAAAGGTAGCTGCTAATACCAGGTTTTGTAGTCCACAAATTTTGGTTTGGGGAACTTTGAAACTGGCCGGCTAGTTTAAGTGACCGGTTTTGACAGGGGGCCGTTAGCAAAGGTTTTACTGTAAGATGACTCGTTAAAGATCCCCTCTGGTTGGAACACCAAGGCATTCGTCGACATTTTCCGTTGGTGGAAGCGTGCTTCGGGCGTCGGTCGGTGATTAGTCTTAATCACAGAAGTAGATCGACGCCGACGTTAAATAAAGAAATAAAAAAAGAATAACTATAATAATAATAATTTACCTGTTACGTGTGATTATAAGGTAAGACGGGGAAAAAGTCTACAGCTGAGTAAAAGAGCTAGGACAGTTCGAGCCCAAAATCGGTCATTTTCCCATGTAAATCTCCATAAGAAAATCTAAGGTCCATTCTGGTCATTTTTGGCTCTTTTTGTGGTGGAGGCGCGACGGCATATTGGATCGTGACGTATGAGGTGTCAAACGAACGGGAAGGGGACGGGGAACACGTAGAGGGAAAAAACAAAGATGGCGGCATAGTCAAAACGGCACTATAACGTATCTCCGGATCTATTGGTCCGATTGCAACGTATGAGGTGTCAAACGAACGGGAAGAAAACGGGTAACACGTAGAGAGAAAAAACAAAGATGGCGGTATAGTCAAAATGGCACTATAACGTATCTCAGGGTCTATTGGTCCGATTGCAACGTATAAAGCGTCAAATGAAAGAGGAGGGGGTAACAAATACATTGAGATGAACAACAAGCAACAAAATCAATACCAAAATGGCACTATAACGTATCTCAGGGTCTATTGGTCCGATTGCAACGTATAAGGCGTCAAATGAAAGGGGAGGGGGTAACGAATACATTGAGATGAAAAACAAGCAACAAAATCAACGCCAAAATGGCACTATAACGTATCTCGGGGTCTATTGGTCCGATTGCAACGTATGAAGCGTTAAACGAAAGGTGAGAGCATAATGTATACATCAAGATGAAAACATGAAACAAAATCAATGCCAAAACGGCACTATAACGTATCTCAGGGGCTATTGGTCCGATTGCAACGTATAAAGCGTCAAATGAAATAGGAGGGGGTAACGAATACATTGAGATGAAAAAACAAGCAACAAAATCAATTTCAAAATGGCACTATAACGTATCTTAAGGTCTATTAACCTGATTACTACGTATGAGGTATCAAATGAATATAACGTACAGCAGCGGCTTTCGCTGGAAATAAAACGAATAGGAACGTTTACCATTCTTACACTATGACCAAACCAACATTCATTCACTCTATAATCTCCACAGTAACACATGAAAAGTAACGAGCTGCATACTATATTTTATACATACTACATAAAAATGTTAGCAAGGACAGTCAAGCAATAAGTAATGCATAAATGTAATAAGTAATGGGTAATGTAATAAGTAATAAACTGCTGTTAGTATCTAAGCAAAGGAATGATAGTAAGTTAACGAATATAGAGCCATGTATAAAAATGATTAAAAGCATGCCATGAAAGGAACGTAGTCAATTCGGTTCAAACAAACATTTGTTGAAAAACAAAAATTTATTCTTAACGGCAGTCACCAACGTGAAGGTACGACTACACGACCGCCGGGAGAGGTAATGTTAGTATGGGACAAACAGTTAGTATGAATGAAGTCATTTACATAATATGATAATTTATTTAATAATTATACTTAACTTATTAAGATCAGCACATAATTTAACATGGTTTAGAAGACATCTTTTATTGATGGACATCTTTTATGTTAAGACATCGACACTTTGGTGTAAATTCATTAGTTACTATGTTGTATAGCGTTCAAATGAATTATTGGGGGCTAATAACTCTAGGTTATCTTTAAAAATAGGAAATTCTCCGACTCCTGTTTTGGGACAGGCTATCGAAGAATTGACTTAAATCTAAATCGAGGAAGACCAATAAGTTATCGATTGTCTTAGGAGGCTGCACGAACACATAGCTCTGGAGTTAACCAGAACGGTTCATTAATTTGCCAGTGGTCCATGATATCTTTTTAGTGGTCATATCTAAACATTTTTTTTTTTTTAAATGTGCTAATCTTAAGTATCGTGATTTAGAAATAATATTTAGAAAATTAAGATCTATTATAATTATCATATAATATAAACAACGAAAAGCGAAATGAAATGGTGAAATAATGACTAATAAATTCTGAATCAGATATATTTTAAGTTGTAATAAATAAACCACGTTATAAAAACGACAATATACAATTTGCATCCATCTTAAAGTCAATCATCAAGGATAAATGTTAAAATATGACTATTGATATATTAGATATATTACTTTGCGTTAATCAACATCCATCTTAGAATCAATTAAATAATGCCCCCACGGAAGTGTATCATATGACTCCGGAAGGTGATGTCTTTTATCATCATTGGCGCTTAGCGCAATCTTGCTTTGTGTTATGGTATAAACATGGTGCTTATCTGAGCGTATTAGATTCTGTGAAGCATACACCTTTTTTAAGTTATCCAAACACTCTACATAGTCCTCAAACGTAATTTTCGTGTTCACCACAGATTTCTTTACCCCCTTCGCCTTCTTTGTTAACCTAAAATTTTTAATAATTACTTCAATTTCTTCATCCTCATATTCTTCATCTTTCAACTTTTTACGTTTTTCTTTTAGCTCATCTTCAGTGACAGCTACTTTTGTTGTATACAATTTAGATCGGAGCCCTATGTAGTCAGTCATAATGCGACCTTTATTCTCATCTTTCATCATGCCCAACACCTTCTTGTTAACCTGAGGGATACCATAAATATTGTCTTTACGATAGTCTGAGGTATCAAAATATTTGTAGCAATCTTCTTTCATAGCCTCATATGGGTCTTGTTCACGTATTTCCACGATTACACTATCGGTATCAGTATAGCAAGTTGTAAAGTTTTCTCCGAACCTGCCAGCTAAGTATCCATACTGAAAATCATAGATTGTTGTTTTAGCCAAGTCTAAAATACTCATTCCGATATAGATTGGTTTATCTAACCATATTTCAGCTCTACGCATCTCAACAGCTACCAAGTTTTCACTAAAAATCGTTGCATTCTTAAACAATGGGCTACTTATTCTAGCTTCAGCTCCGTAACGACCCTCCCACAAAGTAAGCAACTTTATATCAACGCGCTTGCGCACTGATTCCATAGTCTTCCCGAACACTGCATTATTCATAAGCTTAAAAAGATCCTTTTCAAACTCATTGTTCGCTGCCTTCCGGAGATTTGTATTAAGATCGATGTATGACTTTAACCATGGAGCCTGTTTGAATTTCAATACTCTATGTATCTTTTTCAGGATCAATCCATTTGCAAGCGCCTGTTTTAGTGCTCTATAATGTATTACATATCTTTCTTTATCCTGTAGGGTAGCCATTAATTTAGTCTGCTCTCGCGGACGTGTAGGAGGAAGCATAGTCTTAGAATTTAAAGACTCAGGACAAAACGGGATATCTTTATGACGATCATGAAGATGTTGAGGGTACGCCAGATCAACCTCGAGAATGTACCCTTCAGAAGCATCGTCAGCAATGGAAAGGACATCAATATTGGCATCGACCCACTCGAAACC